GCAAAGCCAGCCCGGTGTAATGGAGGTTTAACAGGTGAGAGCTAGTAATTAGGGGTAAGTCAGCTCGGTTGTGGCGAGGGGGGTGGGGGGAGGAGGGGTTGTGGTCACGTGGTCAACTCCACTTCAACCCAGACCACATCTGTTATTAGCGGCCGTGTACATAGTACATTGTACCGTAACACATTCTAACAGTCACGTTTTGTGGTTAAACGGTTAGTGTGTTGTTCTAAGTCAAATAAACATGTGTAAGAATTGGCAATTACCTGTAATGTTTTTCAAATTAAATTTTTGTAATTATTAGTTTTCGACTAAAAAGTCTCGAAAAACCGCCTATGTTATATACAGCGCAAGTCTCAGAAAAAGTACAACACAGGCCTATGTCAGTTCAATTTGTAAAGAGTTTGACGGCTTTTATTTAACTCCACATCCCACATTTTTGTCGCGTTGTCGACATACTTTCTATTTCATGAATATTTAAGTTCAAGAGGTTTTTCACTATAATCAAGCAAGAGGGTTTTAGTGTGTTTCATTTACGACAAATGTTCCATATACAAAACCCACTTTCACCTCTCACTCTCTTGCACGAAGAAATGCAAAACAACAAAAATCCCCTAAGTTTCCACGCATAAACACCTTTCAACCCCCGTCTTAAGAGGGTTGAAACAAAGAAAAACAAGGTGGGAGGGTTTCATTTGTGTCGATATAAATTCAAATCCGAGGCGCGACTTGTAAAAGGTTCACGACAGGCGAGGAGTGAGGGGGACTTAAAGTGAGATGGAAAAGAAATGTGATAACCGAATCCAATCAGGACTTCGGCATTTCCAGCCGAGTGCGATATTGGATTTGCAGCGAGGGACGTCTTTTTCAAAGGATACGGAAACGCAAAAGATGAAAGCCTCTTGGAAACCTTCTATTTACCAACCCCTCAGACACGCTCCGGGGTTGCTTACGTACGACGAGTTGCTTAGGGGTGAAACGTTCTCTGCGAGTGTCAAGTCAATGTAGATGTGATAATACAGTCGTGAGCTTGCGTGTGTGAAACATGTCTTGAGGTTGATGTTGTATTTAGTTGCGAAACACCATATTTGTATGCTCTGACGTTACTAAAATTAGTTATAGTTTATACAATCAATTTGGAATTACAACCGATGCCTGGCTGGACTCTACAGTCACGACAGACGTAGCCAGAGTAGGCGTTACGGACGTAGTTGAGGACCGGCGGAATAACAGTTATTTGACAGTGTCGCGTCACGGTTGTTACCAGATTCTAATAAGCCAGCGTCACGCTGCGTGATGATACGAGAAGCTATGTGGAAATAAGTTTAAAATTTTCAATGAATCATGACGCATGATGCGCTATGATGTTTGACGCAGTGTGCCTTAAGCATGATTTTTGACGCGTTTTGATGCGCTGTGACTCTGAGTGTATTTTTGCCACTGGACCGACAATATTTTCCATTCTCGTGTTATTTCTCAGAGGCTACGAGGTTGTAAATTTCGCTCAAACAAACCTATAAAGTACTATTTATTACTCGATTTGTAGCAAAAATGAAAAACTTTTGTGGCGAAACCCTACAATTCTAACATAGGTACTGTGTAAGATTTTCAACATTTTCAGTATTCAGGAATGAATAAAAATATGAACTTTTATACACACACACGAACATGTATACAAACACACCCTGTTATATTGTTAACAATTTAATTGCCGAATTTACTTTTCTGTGTTCACCACCACACCGCTAACCAAACAAGATTGAAAATCAAGCAACGTCAATATGTATTTTGATTAGCTTTCAAACATCTTTAAGCACCGTCATGTAAAGCCCGCTACACACGGTCAGTTCGGTGTGTCAGTTTGGTGTGTTCACATCGAACTGACACACCGAACTGATCGTGTGTACGCCAAATTGACGTGAGCTCACATAAAAAAACTGAACTGATGGACTGATGAAAATTCATCATTTCGGTGTGACACACCGAACTGATGTCAGTCCGAAGTGAGCGTGTGTACCGCCGCGTCAGTTCAGTTAGTCAAATTTTGGTATTTGAGCATACGCAGCGTCATTATATATCCTATACCATAGATAAAACACACTTCCTTAGTAGAATTCTCATACTTAAGAATAAGCTGAAGAAAATTTATTTGTTAGTTCTGTCCGGTGTAGTGTAGATGTTATTTTTTGTTTACAGTTTGTTTATTGTCATTTAAGTCATATACAATTCTCAACAAATAATAACTTTAGTAATCATATCATTCTTTTTGGTATTGTGGGAAAGGTGAAAGAGATCCATCTCATCACCAACAAATCTGTCGTATGTAGGAAAATAAACATTGTTTGTTATGAAAATACATACGAACGAGTACGACTTCCCAGGAAGGGAAGCGTACCTAGGAGGATTTCACCCCCAGGTAGCACGTTGAACTGACACACCGAACTGACCGTGTGGATGCGAATGCTGCGTTCAGTTAGAAGTGACAGTTAGAAATGAACACACCAAACTGACTCACCGAACTGACCGTGTGTAGTGGGCTTAATAAACAGGTGATACAGATAAAAATTCCTCTAATACAAAAATTTACTTACATAAAACACAATATTAAACTCCGCAGCGCCATTTATCCCGAGTCGCTGAGATCGATCCGCGGGGGATGAAAGCGAGAGGGAGAAGGGAAGCAAGACACCCTTGGAGAGCTTTATTAAATCTCACTCGCTAATTACACTATTATTAACATGTTTTCCCTCCAATTAATTCCCGCCGTTTGTTTCTCCGCACACTCGACTTTGTTCCCTCGTCTAAGCGGCTCTAATGCTTAACCCTCCTCAAGGGTTGCGGTTAGGGTAGTCACCACCTTGCTCTCCGTGTTTGTGTTACGATGTTTAGAAGTTATCTAGTGTTTTGATTGTAATTTGGGGTAGATAAAGTTGTGTATTTCGCATAGAAAATAAGGTTTAGCTATGGTGAATAGCGATGTTAAACCAATATAATGAGATATTAAAATCTTATTGCAAAAAAATTACAACATGAACAAAATTTAAATCAATTTAAAAAAAATTTGATTGTACAATACTAACATAATTTGTTAATAAAGTAAATGTTTTTACAAAATTATCGGATCATCTTAAAATAACGAAACAGTAGTTGCCCTATTATCTAGGTGTACCTAAATAAGTAACACCATCACTACATCCACAAGGTCAAAAAATCTACTTAATATATTCACTAAGAGAAACATCACCACTTTTTCATTTTTTAGGGGGTTCTACTTTTTCTTGTTTGAAAAATTTGTTTACCTGAAAGAAATCGGAGTCATTATACATATACCAATAAATTTAGTTTCACTAGTAAAAATGCTAAATAATTAAATTTGAATAATATAATGCCCATGAAAATTCCTAAAAACACAAACAACGTATATTTCGTCCATTAACGCACACGGTGAAATCCCTCCTCACACACATAGACGAGATATACACACAAATTGTCTACAAACCCTACATCTCGCACCCTGTGTACCGTATCATATCTGTATTGTGAGGCCCCGCGATGTGTATACGGGTGAAGTGAGGTTTGCATTCAGCTCTGATGGTCTTATTATTCAGAGCCAGTGTCGCTGTCTGATGATATTATTATTCAGTGTTTCTCTTGTCAGGAGACGCCTGAAACCTACTGATAACATGCGTCAATGATAACACGGCACGGGGTGAAAACTTCTACCCGACGTTGTCACAATGTATGATAGTCTCATTCATAAGTTTAAAGTTTTTAAATTTGTCAAAATTTACGTCTACTATGAAACTAAAATATTTAACAAACCTTATAAAGGTATTCACAATAAACAACTGCATCTGTTATTTAGTTTTCGTCAAAGAAAAAATATATAGGAGGAAACTCACTGCGCTAATCTATAGGGGTACCTATAGGGCCTTAGAAAATTCAAAGTGTAAAACCATAGGCGCAGAACAGTAGTGTAAAGTATTTGATTGTTAAACGGAAATGTGCGTTGAAGAATTATATATATTTACAATTGTCTATAAAATGGACAAAATAGTCATATAAATGAATTATATTTGTAAAATTTCCATACTAGTGAGTGTACAAAAGAGTGTTTGGCTGAACTCTTATTCCAACAGATGAGGGGTTGTATACGCACGTTTGATCATAATTTCTTCAAATTTGGTGAATTTTAACATGTACCTTGCAGATTATTAAATTAAACAAACCGCAAACAAAATATAAAATATTTAATCCCAATTAAAATATATTCTTAAAACATTGGACCAACATTTACCAGGAATACAAAGTAGACAAAAGTGAAACTCTTAAGAAACCCAACTAGTGAATTAAAACTTAAAATACAAACAGCCAAAACAAAGACCAATATAAATCTGCAACTTAAACAAAGACTTAAAGAAGAAAGTCACTTATATTCTAAAAAATTGCCCGGCTGTGCGAAAAGTTGGCTGTTATTCGTTAATTTGCGAGGCGAGAGCCAAGGGTAAAAGCCAGTTTTTCCTGATTAAACGGAATAATTAAAAGTCCCTCCTTGAAGTCCGTATTGCTCAACTTTATGTAAATGTTTCTTCTCAGAGTTTTAATAAGTGACTGAGAGAGTTTTCTAAACACGGTATAAAGAAGCCGAGACGGGCCCCTTATTCCTCCCCTGTCTCCACCCCTAGCAGTTTCCTGACGGGGAATTCATAATTCCCCCCCCCCTCGCTCTCCACAATTAGTTTGTCTCAGAAGAACAATTTAGCACGATGCCTTAACGGTTTTAAGCAGCTTGTTAAATTCACCGTATTTCGCTCTCCGCTGTAATTTGCGAGTGGTAAATCTCTTTTGGGGTTTGACGATTATAAAGCCCGTCCCTCTGTTTAATATTTCATCCAAAGTATATGTAACTGATTTGTATTCGTTAGTGGTAGATTAATGCGTTCGTAAACATAAGGTAGAAAATATAATGGTTTTGTACTAAAATAGATATGCAATGTGTTTACCTGTTTGTGCATCTCTACATTGAGCCCATATGACATCTCGTAATACTGGAAAATAAAACAAGTTATATTAAAACATGTTTCAACGATTAACAAACATTAGATGCAATCAAAATTCGGAATAATCAAAACTGTAGATATATATATAATTGTTTTGTACTTGACAAAATGTTACCTAATTGGGGACTATTCAACTGCAAAACTAAAATTTTGAATTGATTTCACATTTAAAAACTTTCAACTTTTGAATACTCTCATGTTAAAAATTTGAATTCATTTAAAAAATTAATTTATATCAGTAGAATAATCGTCAATCAGGTATAATTAGGAAATGTAACTTTTGTTTAACAAATATTAAACCTAATCTGAATTTGAATAATTAAATCAACTTAAATATTGATTTTATTCCTTACTTATAAATTTACTTTATTTACAATCGTATTTAATTTAATCTAAGACAATGCATTGTAAAATTGTAAAACAAAAGGTGTCTATCCTCTTCATTTTTTATTTTATTTTAAATTAAATAATCAGAATGAAGTGTACAACATGAAAAGGTCTGTCAAAAAGGCAAAAATGTATTTCCAATCATACATTTTAATCTTATGCAACTCTAACAAATGTTAAGAAACACTTAAAGGCTATTAAACAGCTATGTTATTTTAAAACTATTTTCTTCCAAACAAACAGTTATGTCTATTAACCAACAATCACCACACATGCAAGCAGGAATCTTTACTAAATGCAGCCAGCTGGTTTTATAATTACTCGGGAATTTAATTAATTGAGGAATCGACTCAATTAATAAAATAGCAGCATGCTTCGTGCATTACAATTAGCGTTACTGGTAATTACAGAACCATGCACAATTGCACATGCGCAATACAACATTGCCTGATCATCGGCTACTAGGCGGTCTTGTAGTACATCAGGCCGCCGCTAGGCGTATGCAGCGCTACTGTAGGACTACCTAGAACTACTGTGGCTTAATACAGTACCTAATCTTGCCATATCCTAATTCACAATAATTGTCATGCTAAAAATTATTCGTGTTGCAGGCAAACATTTTTGAACAAATGAATGTATTGTAATAAAAGGGTGACAAGTTTTTGAAAAAAAACTTAAATTTAAATTACAAATTATTTAATTGCACAGTCAAAGTTAGGGGTTCGGTTAGGTCGTAGATAATATTTAACTCAATTACTTTGGGATTAAGCCTACATGATTATGTTATGGTAAATAGTTGAGCGAGACCCCGAGACCTAGATACGTTAGACTTACCTAAGATATATTAGAATTTCGAGAATTAAAAGCCCTAAACATTGTCTTCTCAAGTTTACCAATCAGACTGGGACATTTTTTTTAAGAATGATACAATTTAATTTTTAGTTAATTTGCAACTAGATAATACATTACAGAACAGATTACCTCAACGTAGACTACTAGGTCGGGGGTGAAATCCTCCCAAAATTTGATGATTTTACATTCTACAGTTTCCGACTCGCATTTTATTTAAATTTTCAAACAGTTTTAGAACATCCCCAATTTTATCTAACAGGACCATTAAAACAACAAATCTTACCCTTATCACCAAAACAAACACCCCCAAATTAATTGCCCACCCCCCTATTTGATCGAACGATGTATAAAACATGTAATAAACCCGCTCATTACCATTCCATTTTGTTTAACGGCTCTACTCGGAAAACGAGTTAACTACCTATAAACCCGGGCAGTCCTTGAATAGGCATCGCTTAACGGCCGAGTCGGGAAGCGGTCGAAATTATGTTTTATTGCCTACTTTATCGCTCAGTTGAAGCAGTAAAGCTCGGCTTTAATATCCCCCAGTTACTGCTTGAGGCTGACAATCAAGCGTAGATTTACACCCTTGTATGCCGTAGTCAACCGCTCACCGCTCACTGTACAAGTTAACCTGATTTCACGTCCGTTAACTGAGTCTAGGCTAGGCCTTTGTGGTCGCCACTTGACCTGAAACTCAATTTATTCGATTATTTGAGTCTTCTGTTTTACGAGTTTAGTAAAAATGTTAATTTTGGTACGTAGCTTGTCATTATCATACACTAAACTAAACCTAACCTAACCACCACAGCACACTGTTAAAAAGTGGTGGACCGTCCTCTTTTTTGGAAAATATCGATAACAGAAGATCAATATTTATATCGAATGGAATATTATTATCGATGTTTTATATCGAATGACATTTTTATCCAAAAGTATTTCGTAGGTTCTCTGCGAACTGTACTGTAATACATCAGCAGCTCATTGCAAGACAGTATGTAGGCAGAGGCAGACACGGCTGAGTCGTTTGTAACAAGTATATCCGCGCAGTTCTCAGTCTCTGTTTGTTGTTTGTTGTTTGCTGTTTACGATTATGGTTCGCCGCAGTTGCGATCGCTTGTGTTTGTGTTTATACATCGTCACCTTTCATCACCTCGTGGATTGCATACTAGTTTCCTAACTCCATCATGTAGGCCCTAACATAGGAATTCAACTTGTAACATGTAAATCGTAGAATTTGCCATTTTCTATTTCAAATAGTTAACATGAATTTAAAAATAGATGACCCCCATACCAATCTTAAATCCTTTATTTTTAGCAGGGTAAAAATAAAGCAAAAAGTAAATAATCAAGATGAACTATTTTTTAGCAAAAACGTGAGTGACCTCCACTTATGCTACTTGAAAACCATATCCGCATGGGTTAGGTTATGCGTTTAGGAGAGGTTAGGTTATGTTAGGTTAGGTTAGGCGTGGTTAGGTTAGGTTTGGTTGGAACTGAGAAATAACCTAAAATTTGAGTCTGTAAGTGCGTTATGTTCATGGCGTGTTAGTCGGCGTGGCATTGACGCATGACGCGTGAACCGTTGTCACAGTCCGTAGTTGAGGAACCACGCCACGGGCGCGCCACCGTAACGTTGCGCCATGTTGCAGTGTTGCGCGACGGAGCCAGATCCGTGTCGGGCCCTAATGAGCCCATTGTAGCCGCTGCACGCTTTATGCTTTCACGAAATGTCGTTAATTTAATTTCAAAATCCGACCGAGTAAATAATTCGATACCGTTGGCTACACTGCAATCGGCGTCGCGGTAGGTGCTCTCGTGGCCAGAATAGAGGAGTACAACCTACTTTGGTGTAGATGTCGGCCAAAATGTATAATCAGGTTATGTATAATCTGGGTTGTCTGTACATTGCTTGATTTTTCTGGGTATGAAATTTTTTTTTTACTTTTCCTAATTACTCTTTATATTTCCCGGTGGTACTAACTAGGTTCATAATCAAATATGCTGTTGTAGGTTTTTAAGACTTGATTTTTTTGTATTAATTGATCTAATTTAAAATAAAATTAACCTAACCTATCCCAACCGTATACAAAATATTTTATTATTATATGACTTGCTTAGACAAATCTAAAGTAGACTAACCTTCCAACATGAGAAAACCATACAACAAATATGACAATATTATAAATTAACTAGATTTTGAACTACTGTAATATCATTTTTATACTTTGCCTAACATACCTATGAAAACGTGGCATTAGCCTATAAAAAATAAACCTTCACCTAAGTACTATGGAGAATAATTTAATTAATTGTCAAATTTTCTAATGATGATATTTCTTTAAATTAACTCAATTTCTTAGAAAACTGTTAAGACAGTTTGGGATGAACACAGCTTGATTGGTATATAACTCATTTAGCAGAATAACAACAACGACATTCACAACAATCTATATAGAATTCCGTGTATACAACGTAATCTCGTGAAATACACGAAATATCCGCAACACGTAAATTGCACTCCAGTTATCAATTAAATACAATTGAGAGAGGAACGCGCGCTGCGGACCGTGGCAGGCCACAAACACTGTATATTGTATTGTTCATTGAATCCTCACTCCTTGCCGCTCATGTGTTTATTACGATATTAATTGAATTCGGAAATTGACTGAATTGACCTGCGTTGCCGACACCGTTGAAAGAACGAGAGTTCACGATATTGTAATGTTTGAAATAATATATGACTTTTACAAGGATAATCCTTCAACAACAATTTCAGTGTTTCAAAGTTCTATATTTAAAGTTGCAGGAAAAACTTCAGAATGAAACAAGCGTACCATCAATGGTACCATCTAGTTAAAGAACCTAAATCAACTTAAGTACAATTTTATATAACGTACAAACGGAAACTTCTGTAAAATCGACACATCCAAGACTTGTAATCGGTTTTAAAATATGTTTACCCCAAAATTGCATGAAAACATCCGGGATAGCGTCATTATAAAATGAGTGATCGGCCTTTTGTCATTAACAAAATTGTTCCGAATTTCCTGGGCCTATGCAAAATCCACGCACTGTTGCCCGGTTGTCAAAGTTCACAATTCCTGGGTTTTGCCGTTTCCCTGCTGGACACCCTGTAGTTTCTACAAATCGGGAGTGAGTTGGTATAGAAGTAAAACGCAAGCCTTCCATCCTTGAGGTTATGGGTTCAAATCAAGCCAATAAGCAATTAATTTTCATCCATGTGATAATACCGCGAATCTTAAGGTGGAATGTGTAAAACCATATCCATACTATTGTCCTAAGATGTGAAGCTGTAGCCTACTGAAGGCACAACTGATACTGATGTGTCAACATCGTGGTGTAGTGTGTAGTTACTAGAACAGCCACTAGTAATCTGTTGCAGGGATCGCCGGACAGCGAGAGGCGGTAGTTGAGCTAGTGGGCGGTGTTTGCCGTGTTTGCTCGTTTAAGCGATAGTAGTTGTATAATGACTGTTCTGCTACACAGCGCCGAGTAGTCGTCTGATCACAGTGTTTATCTCCCAGTATGGAGTGGGTGGAGGTGCTCAACTGTAACACGGTCGGTTACACCTCAATTCTTACTATTTAGGGCTTGATCCCAAGGACCAAACGAACTTTTGATTACCTGTAACTCGGAAGAAATCAACTACAAAACTTGTTAAGGTGTACAGTTAACCGGTATTTCGTGAACGTTAGAATAGGTGAGTATTAAAGTTTTACAACGAA